ATCCAGTTGGAAATAGCAGAAAGGCAGTTAGAGACACGAGTTAAGAGGGGTGGTGAGAAATCGGGGGAGGACAGATAAATTTGAGTGTCATCTGCATAGAAATGATACTGGAAGCCGAAGGAACTGATGAGTTTACCAAGGAAGGCAGTATAGATTGAGAACAATAGGGGACCAAGGACAGACCCTTGGGGAACACCAACAGAGAGGGATTGGGGAGAAGAGGCAGAGCCAGAGAAAGAAACACTGAATGAGCTCTGGGAGAGGTAGCACGAGCACCAGGAGAGAGCGGTATAATGTAGACCAAGATTACGGAGGATGAGAAGAAGCTGTTGATGGTCAACAGTGTCAAAAGCAGAGAGTCAATCTCGCATACACAACTCTCTCAAGGAACTTTGAAACAAATGGCAGTGGCTAGATAGGGTGGTAGCTGGATGGGGATTTAGGGTCAAGGTTGGGCTTTTTCAGAATCGGGGTATGGTTGCATGTTTGAAGGATAGAGGAAATGTGCCAGAGTGTATTGAGGTAGTTTTCTTTTGAGGAGGAAAGAGCTAGACTGTAGGAGTGCAGCATAAATTTATAGTGGAGGAAGTCAGACACACAGTGAGACTTTCTCCAGCAGTGTTCAGCAGTTCTGGAACATTTTTGGAGGTATTGGGTCAGCTTAGTGTGCCAGGGTTGTAATTGGGGGCATATTAAGGTAGTTTAACATCTCCCTTCTGCCCCTACTCGCTATGCTGCGAGTAGGGGCGTGTCTACTAAACAGTGAGCACTCCAAGACTAATCAAGAGTGCTTTGACATGTAAATCTTGAGCAGGATTTATACATTTTTATTTGGTTATATCTAATTGTAAGTATAATCTTTTATTTACATATATTCAGTTTATTGCTCTGCCCCTAGCACTAAATTGACCTAGCACAGGGCCCCCATCCGCCGCTCAATGGTAAGGGCTGAGAGAGGAGGCAGCAGGGTGGGATACAGGTATAATGCACCCAGACCCATGGGCGTATGAACCAGGGGGGATGCACCCCCCCATCAAATCATGTGGGGGGGGACAGGTTATAGAGAAACACCCCCCCAGCTCCGCTGGCCGCGGGTGCCCTCGGGCTTTGTGCGGCTCCATCAGGGAACCGCACGCACTGCAGACTGGGAAGGGGAGCTCCTCCCCCTCCGCGCAGGAGCACCGGGTGTCAGGTGACTACCCGGTGCTCAGTCTGACACTGCGCCCACTGGACGTCCAGAGGTCCCCCTGCTATGTCAGGTAAAAGGGGGGACAAAGGTAGAAAAATAATTGGAAGTGTTTAGGGGGGCTACTAATATGGATGGGGGAGGGGTAGGTAGAAAAATAATTGGAATGGTTTAGGGGGCTACTAATATGGATGGGGAGGGGTAGGTAGAAAAAATTAATGGTTTGGGGCTACTGATATGGATGGGGAGGGGGCAACTGGAATGCTTTAGGGGCTACTAATATGGATGGGGGGTAGGTAGAAAAATAATTGGAAGGGTTTAGGGGGCTATATGGATGGGAGGGTAGGTGAAAATATTGGAAATTAGGGGGAGATAGGTAGAAAAATAATTGGAAGGGTTTAGGGGGGCTACTAATGGATGGGAGGGTAGGTAGAAAAATAATTAGAAGGGTTTAGGGGCTAGAGGGTGGTAGAAAATAATTGAAGGATTTGGTATGGATGGGGAGGGGGGGCTACTAATATGGATGGGGAGGGGTAGGTAGAAAATAATTGGAAGGTTTAGGGGGCTACTAATATGGATGGGGAGGGGTAGGTAGAAAAATAATTGGAAGGGTTTAGGGGGGCTACTAATATGGATGGGGAGGGGTAGGTAGAAAAATTATTGGAAAGGGTTAGGGGGCTACTAATAATGATAGCGGGAGAGGGGTAGGTAGAAAAATAATTGGAAAGGTTTAGGGGGGCTACTAATATGGATGGGAGGAGGGGGAAGGTAGAAACATATTGAAAGGGGTTAGGGGAGTACTAATATGAATGGAAGGGGTAGGGTGGGTTCTAATATGCATGGAAGGGGTTAGGGGTGTACTAATATGCATGGAAGCGGTATGGGGGGTTAATATGCATGGAAGGGGTAGGTGGGGTTCTTATGTGCATGGAAGGGGTAGGAGTGGTTCTTATGTGCATGGAAGGGGTAGGAGTGGTTCTAATATTCATGGGAGGGGTAGGAGTGGTTCTAATATTCATGGAAGGGGTAGGTGGGGTTCTAATATAAATGGAAGGGGTAGAGACGGGTAGTAAAATGTATGGAATGCACTTCTGAAAGTGTCACTGAAGGGCAGTTAGGAAATGTGGTCACCCTAAGTCAGGGGCAGTATTACACAATCTGTATATGTATAAAAAAATATAAAAAGCAAAGTACAAAATTAAGCTAGGAATATGCATATGTTTTTATTTTTTTTTAAAACAATTTTTAGAATAATGATACAGACATTTTATTTCTTACATTTGTGATGATTCTTTTTCCCCCTCTATATTCAAGGGACACTATAGTCACCAGAACCACATCAGCTAAACGTAGTAGTTCTGGTGTCTATAGCATGTCTTTGCAGGCTTTTTAATGTAAGCACTGCCATTTCGTAAAAAGGCAGTATTTACATTACTGCTGAGGAATACCTCTAGTGGCCAGTAGAGGTGCTTCCTAGTCGAGACATGAATGCCGCCCTATGAAGTATCTGCGCATGTGCACCAGGGAGCAATGACACCTCTGAATAGAAGCGTTTTATTGCTCCCTGCTCGCACCCTCCTATTTCATCATTTTAACAAAATAGGGGGCACGGCATCAGGAGGATCCCGGTGCTGTATCTGGGTAAGTAAAAGCCCTTCCCTGTAGTGACCCTTTAATGTTATTAATTTATCATTTATATAGCGCAAGAAAATTCCGTAGCGCTGTACAATGGGATAAACAATTCCTAGTTTACGGAATAAGAATATACCTATAAGTGCCTAAAGTGTCCCTTTAAGTACATGAGGTTAAGTGGACAGATCCCACAGGTCAGAAGATGATGGCTACAAAGTTAAAGGGTGGGGACGAGTCTGGTGCTCCAAAATCTCAAAACTTAATTGGTCACCATTGCAGTCTTTAAGCTACAATAAATGTGTTTAGAAATCAGGCTGTGTAGATAAGTTACCAGCTAAATTAAGCTGTAGTTGTTCTGGTGACTATACTGTACCTTTAAATTCCAATTTAAGACCCAGGCCAATGGCCATGACCCTAAAGTATTGAGAGAAAAAAAAATAGATTAACATTGGAAATCTAGGGGAATTTGTGTTTGCTTGGCTTTATTTTATGTAGAGAGTAATTATCTTTAGAAGAATTTTTAATCATCTGCAAATGTCAAAACAGTTATTTTGACCTAAGTATTGGCTTTTAGGTGCTTAATTTAAGTCAGTTTATTTAAATCAGGAAGTCCCCAATTAACCTAAAATATAAAGCATGGCATGATAACCTCTTTTGCTTGTTGATTTTTAGTAAAATATACACAAACTAAGAAAGAGAGGAGCAACAAACAGAAGGGATTAGAAAGGAGTAAATGTTTGTAGGAAGAGACTAAAAAGATCACTCTTTTGACGATTCCAAGTTTACATCAGTTCTTGAGCCGAGATTGGGTTTCAACAAAAAAAGTGTTTGGTCTTGATAGAACACTGTTAAAGCAGTAGGAAAGGTCAAAATATATTTTATGTTGTTTCCGAGGATCAATGTTTGTTCTACAAACTTTGTTCTGACTTCATGCGTAGCCAACAAGAGATCAGAGAACAACTTGATATATATATATGTATGTGTGTGTGTGTGCGTATATAATTGTTAAACACAAATGTGCACACACCAGTCAAGCCATAAGGCTTGCTTTTCCCAAATCTCACTTTAACAATGCTCTCACTATCGAAAGGGATTCTGGGTAGGCATATGCAAAAGACACATACTCCAAGGAATCCATGTATAAAGTGAAAAAAATGAGGCAAAAATTTGGTGATATCCCTTGCAGCAGTGAGAACACTATTAAAGTCAAATTTCTGTGGGGAAAGCAAACCTTATGGCTTGACTGGTGTGTGCACATTTGTGCTTAATAATGTATTAACTATTTATATATATGTGTCTGATCCTGATGAAAGTCCAGGACGGGGACTGAAACGTTGATCCTGTTCTCATGCATCTTCAATAAAGAACACCTTTTTTTAACTTCAACTGGCCTTGAGGCGGCAGGGAGAACTAATCCAGCCCTGAGTCCATTAAAAGTTCAAAGCAAGTGTGGGGACAACGTATCCCAACAAAGTTGAGTAATCCTAAAGCATCAGGTCACGGAATTTACATTTTTGTAAAGCCTTCAAGGCCAGAGTCAATTCTTTAATTGTCAGCTGGGTTTCTAGCACTTCTCTCATGTCATCTGTCAACTTGCAGAGTCTTGTATGTTTCATGTATGAACATACAGTATATCAGCCAGTCTTGTTAATCTGGGGTCTGTTTCTCTGTGACATGACCACTGCCAATCTTCCTGCCCCCGGCCAGCAGGTGGAGGCTACTTATTAAAGGTTAGATCTAGTGTTCCCCAGCCTCCACCCATGAGCAGTGGGTGAGGGCTACTAATAATATATGCTAGACCAGGGCTGCCCAACAGGTAGATCCCCAGATGTTGTAGAACTACAACTCGAATGATGCTTTGTCATTCTAAATCTATTCTAAAGACATGCAAAGCATCATGGGAGTTGTAGTTCCACAACATCTGGGGATCTAACTGTTGGCAGCCATGTACTAGACAGATGGACATACCATTGTAAACATTGTCTTTTTTCTAAAATCTTTTTTTCTTTTACACCCAAAAAAGGTAAAAGAAACCCAAAATTGGGGCGGGTGCGTGGCCAGCAGTGATACAAAGTGGATATCTCCTCGCAGAGCTCTGCTCAGACCCAGAGATAAACACAATAAAAGACACAGAAAACACCGCAATTTCACCAGAGACACAGATAACCCCCAAGCAAAGACAATGGGGAAGAAGAACAAGAGGAATCAGGGTCCAGCTGTACCCCGTCAGCCTGATATAAGACCGGTGATCCCACATAGACCTAAGATGGCGCCTGAGGCCTGCTGTACACCCGAGGCATCTGAAGCCTACCTAGAGGAAGAGCAATCACTACCCTTACCTCGATTGGATGCCAGATCCTACACACCGGAGTACGAGGAAGACGAGGCTCCCGCCACACAGGGTGATATAAAGAGGCTCCTTGTAGAGCTAAGGCAGGTCTGGAGGAAAGACCTTAAGAAAGTCCAGATGGAGGTGGAGGAGGTACGCCAGAATGTCCAAGGCCTAGAAACACGAGAGGCCTCCAGAGATGGAAAAATCCGAGCTACTGACCATAAACGGTCAACAATGTACAGCTCCTGCCCCACATTCACAACTTCATAACAACCATGGGCATTAAAGGCAACACTCACAAGCCACAGGTCCCTTTGGCATTTCGAGTGATAAAATCACCAAGCAAAGCACCTGGAGACATCATTATTATGACCCGGGACATCTCCGTGAGATCTGCCATAATGACCCAAACTAGAGAATTGGGGACAATACCTAATGAGGGGCACAGGGTAGCTATATACCCAGATACACCATTCTCCGCCCTCACAGAAAAAAGAAAACTGGCACCTATAGCCAAGAAACTAAGAGACGCTAATATACGTTACCGCTGAGGAATGGAAGGGCCCCTCTTAACAGAAATCAGGGGGGAGAGCCACACATTAACGTCGGAGAATGACCCGGACAGCTTTCTACAACTTGCAGGACTGTCAACCCCGCCGCAGCAGGGGGCCTCACCACCTACCAAAAAAACAGAAGAACCAGAGATCATTAACAAGCGCAGGCACGGCATGCCACCCGGCAACAAAGTCAAGAGACTGACACCATTGCCCAGAATCACAATACCTGGATCCTACAAGTAAAAGGAAGCCATCAAAGACTCCTATTGGCGTCCCAACAGCTCACAGGACTCGACCACTGGTCCTCAAAGTCGACAAAGCAACCAACGAGACACTTTACAGCGAGTAAAGTCACAGTATCCTATTATTGAACCCTATCATTGTACTCATTATGTTGTCAACATGCTCACACATGTTATTTACCGGAATATATTGGAAACGTTGTATATGTTAAAGTTAATAAAATACAAATTGAAAGAAAGAAAAAAAAGAAATCCAAAATAGTACATTCTGGTGTAACATTAGGACCCCTCACCATAGCCCCTACTCTTCCACACCACATTCTCTATGTGGTTCTCTAAACTGTTCCCTTTAGCCTTTAGTTATGCCGGCCGGCGCCCAAGGTGAATGCCTTATTCGCCTAATGGTAGCGTCGGCCCTGAACCCATGGTGTGTGAAGGATGTCTAGACTTTACGACATAATAAAAATGTTCTCTTAAAAATGATTAGTCTCACACCCTTGCTATAAAGTAGAGAGACTAATAGTTTAAACAACTTGGTAAAACACCAAGGTGCACAAAACAAACCAAAATGTAAAGATCTGAATTGCCATTTAGTAATTTTCCAGGTAAATTGTAGGTAATGTTTAAGTTTGGTGAATAGGCACTGTAAGGTAATCAACCTTTACATCTATTTTTATTAGCCAATCTTTGTGTTTTTGAGATAGTAAATCCCCTCCTCTTTGAACTGTTTTTCTATCTGGAATAATTCATAAAATATTTCAGGTTTAACATTGATTTGTGACCAACATTTTTCTTTTTGATCAGGAATAAATTGCTTGCAAAACCTGGCCTGTTCGGGGTAACTATGGGGTATTTTTTGATAATAAATAGGATATCTGTTGTTGTACTAGGACCTGGTCCTGAAGGGAAAATTGTATTAAGAATGGCATATTTATTTGTATGTTTTTTTTATTTTATTTTATTTTGTATCCCAGTATTGTATCTAGAACCCAGACATAATTTGTAATCTGACTTCGAACATGTAAATAAAGTGTCAGTCTGCCTACTAATGCTTTTGGGGAAGGCAGGGTAAATGTAGGCATGGGATATCTCTCTTTGACCTCTGGGTCTCCAACAGTCTGCCACACAGATGGAGATAGTTTCTGTGGTTCAAAAGTGGGTCTAATTCAGGAGAAATTGTTCCTGGGAACCTGCCTGTTTTGGTGAAAAGGGCAGTTTCGTTCTCTTCCAGCCATAAAGAAAACCTTAAGATTTCTCCAGAAGGATGCCTTCTGCAGCTGGATAAGGTTTGGAATTGAATATATTTGTAAGCTATAGGCCATTTTTAATTAAAATCTGTGGTGTTCAATAGGCAAAGCCGCATTTGCATTTCCAAGGAAACACGTGATGCTCTGGGCTCAGCCTCTTAAATCATCTATATTTGGAGAAGTTCAAGAGGCAACTGATTGATCTAATACCTGTCAAGGACCTTTTAAAGATCTATCAAGTTCTTTGCAAGGATTCCTCTTCAATTTCATAAGGAATTGGCTTATTGTAGTATACAAGTCAGGGATCTGTCAGACTTTTTTTTGTAAGAAATCAGTCCTGGGCATTCTAGGGAGGCAGGAGGGAGTGCCCACAGGGAGGGAAGGGAGAGCTAGCTTCCCCTTGCAAGATTTTTACATTTGTCGGCAGCATACAGTGCGTGCTGATGACAGACATAAAATGTTCACTGAATTGACATTAGGTAGCCCAGAACAGAGTTCTGGACTACTTAGGTCACATATGCAAGGAGTGTAAATAGCCACCAGCACACAAGTGGAAATAACTCAGTATGTGCAGTGTTCCAAGCTGAAACACTGCACATACATACTCCTACCACTGTGACCACTTCAAATCACTGAAGTGGCCATGATGACTGGAATAACTACAGTATTTAATGTCTCTCAATAATAACAATTGTTAGAAACTGAAGGGAACAAATTGAAGAGTTAGATTATCTACTAGTTGAGGAAATAGCTAAAATGACAATGAAGGGGGAAGTTATCATCATGGGTGACTTTAATCTTCCTGATGTAAATTGGAAAACAAAATTAGCTACTTGTGCCAGGAGCACACATATTCTAAACTCCCTACTGGGATTGTCTCTAAAACAAGTTGTTGAGGAGCCAACTCGTAAAGAGGCCATACTAGATTTAGTGTTAACAAATGGAGATTTGGTATCAGATATTACTGTAGGTGAAAGTTTAGGATCCAGTGATCATCAGTCAGTGTGGTTTAATATAAGAACAGTGACTGAGTCACACCACACAAAAACAAAAGTTTTAGACTTTAGAAAAACAGACTTTTCTAAAATTAGAATATGGGTAGAGGAGTCATTATCAGACTGGAGCAATTTAAATGGAGTCCAAGAAAAATGGGATTATTTAAAAGTTGCACTATTGAAGGCAACAGAAAATTGCATTAGGCTGGTCAGTAAAAGCAAAAAATTCAAGAAACCACTGTGGTACTCCGCAGATGTGGCCAAAATAGTTAAAAACAAAAAGTTAGCATTTAGGAATTATAAAAAACCCAGAGTGAGGAAGACAAAATGATCTATAAGATTAGGCAGAAAGAGGCTAAGCAAGTTATAAGAGCTTCCAAATCACACACAGAAGAGAAAATAGCACAGTCAGTAAAAAAGGGGGATAAAACATTTTTTAGATACATAAATGAGAAAAGAAAAGTAAAACAAGGATTAGTTAGATTAAAAACAAAAGAAGGAAGGTATGTAGAAGAGGATAAAGGCCAGGCTGACTGCCTCAATGAATATTTTTGTTCTGTATTTACAGAAGAAAATGAAGGAAAGGGACCTCAGTTGAGAAAAAGGATAAATGAGTCATTTATTACACGTGAGTTTACAGAGGAAGAGGTTCTATTTCAACTGTCAAAAGTAAAGACAAATAAGTCAATGGGACCTGATGGAATACACCCAAAGCTATTAAAAGAGCTTAGTGGTGTACTAGCAAAACCATTAACAGATTTATTTAACCAATCATTGTTAACAGGAGTAGTCCCAGAAGATTGGAAGTTAGCGAATGTTGTGCCCATTTACAAGAAAGGTAATAGGGAGGAGTCGGGCAACTATAGGCCAGTAAGCCTTACTTCAGTAGTGGGGAAAGTGATGGAAACCATGTTAAAGGATAGGATTGATGAACATCTAAAAACACATGGATTTCAAGATCAGAGACAACATGGGTTTACTTCAGGGAGATCATGCCAAACTAATCTTATTGATTTTTTTGATTGGGTAACTAAAATTATAGATCAGGGTGGTGCAGTAGACATTGCTTACCTAGATTTCAGTAAGGCTTTTGACACTGTTGCACATAGAAGACTTATCAATAAACTGCAATCTTTAAGTTTGGATTCCAATATTGTTGAATGGGTAAGACAGTGGCTGAGTGACAGGCAACAGAGGGTTGTAGTTAATGGAATATATTCGAAGCTTGGACTTGTCACCAGTGGGGTACCTCAGGGATCTGTACTTGGACCCATTCTCTTTAATATTTTTATTAGTGATATTGCAGAAGGTCTTGATGGTAAGGTATGTCTTTTTGCTGATGATACTAAGATATGTAACAGGGTTGATGTTCCAGGAGGGATAAGCCAAATGACAAATGATTTAGGTAAACTAGAAAAATGGTCAGAATTGTGGCAACTGACATTTAATGTGGATAAGTGCAAGATAATGCATCTTGGACGTAAAAACCCAAGGGCAGAGTACAGAATATTTGATAGAGTTCTAACCTCAACATATGAGGAAAGGGATTTAGGGGTGATTATTTCTGATGACTTAAAGGTAGGCAGACAATGTAATAGAGCAGCAGGAAATGCTAGCAGAATGCTTGGTTGTATAGGGAGAGGTATTAGCAGTAGAAAGAGGGAAGTGCTCATGCCATTGTACAGAACACTGGTGAGACCTCACTTGGAGTATTGTACACAGTACTGGAGACCGTATCTTCAGAAGGATATTGATACCTTAGAGAGGGTTCAGAGAAGGGCTACTAAACTGGTTCATGGATTGCGGGATAAAACTTACCAGGAAAGGTTAAAGGATCTTAACATGTATAGCTTGGAGGAAAGACGAGACAGGGGGGATATGATAGAAACATTTAAATATATAAAGGGAATCAACACAGTAAAGGAGGAGACTATATTTAAAAGAAGAAAAACTACCACAACAAGAGGACATAGTCTTAAATTAGAGGGACAAAGGTTTAAAAATAATATCAGGAAGAGCGGCGAATGAGAGCGGTCGCCTGAGCACGGAGCTCTCCCGCCGACGGGTGCAACAGCGTGGAAATACAGCGTTTCAACACCGGCAACCGAGCCCAAAACGAGGGTACACCTTTATAACAACATGTCCACTAAAATCGCCAAAAAATTTAAGCAGAAAACGCTCCAGTTACAAGCGGCAGCGTCGCCGAAAAGTGCAACAGAAGAACAAAATGGCGCCGGCCGACCTCAATCCCCAGCCGCGTGTACAACAGTGGGTGAGCTTACTCACACTACAGACAGCATGCAAACTCCGGTCACCAATGCCTCCCTACATAATATGCTTTCAGGCTTTCAGAACACCTTTAAAACAGATTTACAGCAAGTTGCTGCAGAAATCAGGGCAGACATCCAAACAATGGGTGAAAGAACAGCTCGCCTGGAGGAACAGGCAGAAGAAATAATTGACGCACATAATGGTCTATCTGAAGCCCACACAGCACTATGTGAGAAAGTTCAACGCCTAGAAGCTAAAATTGCAGACCACGAAGATAGAGACCGACGTAATAACATACGGATCCGGGGTATACCAGAGTCTATCAGCCCCCAGGAACTGACCCAATACGTGCAAGATCTCTTTAAGGCATATGTCCCTACTCTGACTGACAGCGAATTACTTTTGGACAGAACACACCGTCTCCCCAAACCTAAGCACCTACCAACAACAACACCGAGAGATGTTATTACGCGCATACATTATTTTACCACGAAAGAGCGCATTATGCAAGCATCCAGACGCCAGGCCCAACCTCCAGGTCAATTCTCCCAAGTTAAACTTTTTATTGATTTATCCTCTGCAACCATGATCAAAAGGCGCTCCTTTGCGCAAATCACAGCGGCCCTAAGGGCAGCGGAGGTGCAATATAAATGGGGCTTCCCGACTAAAGTGCTGGTCAAACGTAATGGCATAGAATACCCGATCCTGGATCCGGAATTGGGCAAGAAACAGCTGCAAGAATGGAACATTCCTCTTCCCGAGGTCCACCTCCAATCCACAGAAAGCGGATCTGCAATCAAACTACACAACGAGTGGCAGAAAAGACCACGCTCCACGGGCACACACAGTTACAACAAGAAGATCCAGAACTCCTAACTGCACGTGGACTGTACTACATGTATAAAGGACAGGTCGTATGCATGAAATGCACTCACACCTACCCCTCCTTTAGTTTACCATGCCGGTTTCATAGCTTACTCGCACCTGTCGAGAGCTAACCTAAGACATTTAGCAACCGTTTTACCTTTGTTACTTTTATAACCGGTATACAGAATTCTTTACCCACCCCCAAGTGGCTGCAATTCAGAGCCACTAGAGAATCCGTTATACTCGACACTGCACTACCGGAGCGCAGTGAACGGAATAATGTATATAGTTGACTTACGGTCCAATTGTTTTATTGCTCTTTCTTTTTCCTTTTCCATATTATTTTCTTTAAAAATCAGACCCACGGATACTAAGTCCCATACCACTATCACCAGCTGGCACCATCCTAATGGTTATGCTACCAGAATGAAGCCACAACCAAACCCACCAACTAGATGGCACTCAAAATATGCTCCCTGAATGCCAAGGGGTTAAACTCCCCTCATAAACGCCGCTTAGCCTTACGCGAAGCCAAATCACTAGGTGCCCACGTAATGCTATACCAAGAAACTCATTTCTTGTGGAGTAAACGACCGAAATTTAATTCCCCGCAGTATTCTATAGATTTCCACTCCTGCTACTCAGCAAAAAAGAGAGGAGTATCTATCCTCATCAGTAAAGAGGTAGCCTTCTCCTTAATACGCAAAATCGGGGATAAACAGGGACGCTATCTTATACTACAATGCTCTTTGAATAATAATGTATACACTATAATTAATGTTTATGGTCCTAATGTTAACCAAGGTGATTTTGTCGATGCTTTGATGGGATTAATGTCTGCTCACTCGCTAGGGGATGTAATAGTTGGGGGGGACACGAACTTTTTGTTAGATAGCGACTTAGACTCTTCGGGAGGCCCGAACCTGACCGCGCAAACACTAAAGAGCAGATCCAAACTGACCATGGCAATACGCAACAAACTAAATGCACACAACCTCGTAGATCCGTGGCGAATTACTCATCCCACGGAAAGGGACTATACATGTCACACCGCAGCTCACAATAGTTACTCAAGAATTGACAGATTCCTAGTACACTCTACTTCCCTTATGAAAGTTGAACGTACTGACATAGGACTAATCACTTGGTCCGATCATGCCCCTATTACGTTACATTTCAGAGAACAATTCCCAAACACAGGAAGAACCAACTGGAGACTAAATGAACGACTACTAACAGACCCAGACATAGTTAAACAAATAGAACGAGATCTACAGTTTTACTTTAAAGAGAACAAAACCCCGGACTCTCCTCTCCCCCAAATCTGGCTGGCACACAAGGCCTTCATAAGAGGCTGTTTAATAAAGCATGCTAGCTTTGCAAAAAAAAAGAGGCTCGAAGCATACACGGCCATAATTTCCGAATTAACCGCTCTAACCCACGCGAACAAGCACTCCCCCACGGCAACCACTCACACTAAATTATTATCATTACAATCACAACTACGGGATCTAGAATTGGAAAAAACGACTTTCCTCACACATAGGTACAAGCATGGCTTTTTTGCAGCTGGCAATAAAGCTGGAGCCAAGCTGGCCGCCCAATTAAAACAGAGGGCTGCTAGCTCCAAGATAGCATCCATCAAAAATCCCAAAGGCGCCACCATCCTAGACCCACAAGGAATAGTAGACGAATTCGCACACTATTATGAAAAACTTTACAATCTGAAAGAGGACCAACAGTCCATTTGCCCCTCCAAAGCAGACATTGAAACCTTCCTATTGGGGATAGACCTTCCAACTCTAGCTACTGCAGACGCAGAACAGCTTGATAAGCCTTTCACATTAGAGGAGATCACTTCAGTGGTCTCTACACTTCCACCACACAAATCCCCAGGTCCTGATGGCCTATCTAATATATATTACCGTACTTTCTTACCAACGCTAATTCAGCCTCTGCAGGCAATATTCAATCATTGCAAGATGGAGGGAACATTGCCAGAGGAAGTTACAATGGCACATGTATCCACTCTCCCTAAGCCAGGCAAAAGCAAAGACCAATGTAAAAACTTCAGGCCCATTTCACTGCTTAATAGTGATGCCAAAATATATGCAAAACTGTTCAGCGAAAGGCTAGCACCGCTCCTACAAAAATTAGTTCACAATGACCAGTCGGGATTCGTGAGGGGTAGACAGGGCTCCGACAACTCGAGGAAAGTACTAAATATCATAGCGGGGATGGAGAAGGGGCGCCTCGAAGGTCTGTTCCTAGCGCTAGACGCTGAGAAGGCCTTCGATAGGCTAAACTGGCAGTACATGACAGAGGTTATGCGCAAATACCAATTCCCCGAAGGGGCCATAAGAGGGATAATGGCGCTCTACGCGAAACCCAGCGCTAGAGTCTCTCATGGAGGCTTCCTGTCGCGAATCTTTCACATTACGAATGGGACACGCCAGGGATGCCCATTGTCCCCCCTACTGTACATCCTTTCCCTAGAACCATTAGCTTGGAAGATAAGACAACACCAATCCATATCCGGCATTAAACTGAGAGACAGGGAATACTGTCTGGCGATGTTCGCGGACGACGTCTTTGTCTCTCTATCACACCCGGAAAAATCACTACCTCAACTGCTGACATTACTGACCGACTACGGTACAGTTTCTTACTACCGCCTCAACAAAGAAAAAATACAAGCCTTACCGATCAATTTGCCAGGCCCGACCGTGACTGCACTTAAAAACTCCTTTGACCTAGATTGGAGAACGACATCCATAACATACCTAGGAGTTAAGATCGCCACCCCAATTAGCAACATCATAAAACTCAATTACAAACCCCTCATACATATGTGTATTACAGAATTACACAAATGGAAGAACGCAAAAATGTCATGGCTAGGCCGAGTAAATGCCTATAAGATGATGCTACTACCGAAGTTAATGTATATATTCCGCATGCTCACAATAGAGGCCCCAAATGCAATTTTTAAAGTACTGCAAGCCACATGTAGCTCTTTCATTTGGGGAGGCAAGAGACCCAGGCTGCCCCTGGGCCTTTTACAGCAGACGACAAGGATGGGAGGAATAGGATTACCTAACATTGGACTTTATTACAAAGCCTCTCTACTTGCAACGAACATACACCTACATGCCCAACGAGGAACAACACAGTGGGTAGATATGGAACAAGACCAGCTCCAACATACGTCCCTAACTAATTACATGTGGACACCACACTCTCTAAGAGGCCCTAAAGTAGAGCTATACCCCACCACGAGCGCATCACTCAAAGTATGGGATAACTACATGTCCTCCCTAGGCTGGAAGAAGCTCTTCCATCCAGAAGCTCCCTTAACCGCACTGCAAGCGGTGAACCCCACGATCCCACTAGCTAGATGGACGCGGCTAGGCATATCCCAAATTCATAAAATGTGTAACGGTCAACAAGTCATGGACTTCCCCGATATTCAAGCCAAATGGGGAATCCCAGGAAAAGATATCTTCCCCTACTTACAGCTAAAACACACTATTACAGCCCACGTTCAGACTGAATCACTCACTATACCTGCCACTAAGATTGCAGCCAGATTAATACCTCACAAATGCTGGACCGCCCCATTGAAACCCAAAGCCCTCTCACTTTGCTATAAGGCATTACTAGAATTAGCCCCACAGAAACCACTGACATGCAAACAACATTGGGAATCAGAGAGGGGAACCGCATTAACAGAGGAGGAGTGGCTTACTGCCCTAAATGGGATTAAAAAATGGACCAAGTGCTATTCACATATTGAAGCGCACCGCAAATTGCTTTATAGGTGGCATCTGACCCCCGATAGATTACACAAAATATACCCAGATGTCTCACCCAAATGTTGGAGATGCGAGGTAGAGGAAGGGACTCTGCCACACGTATGGTGGACCTGTGGGGGGATACAACCGCTTTGGGGAGATGTTCAGGCTCTACTAAAAGAACTCGCAATTCCCAACTTCCCCATGGACATCACGTCCTGCTTGTTATTGCGATTCCCCGAAAACACACACCAGATCCACATCCAACTAGTAGGACTAATCCTCATGGCTGCCAGACACCTAATTGCCTTAAATTGGAAATCACACAGGTGCCCGAATAAACAACAACTAATAGACAAAGTCCAACAATTCTATATATATGAGAAAATGTCCACTGAGACCGCTAAGGCCACAGATAGACTTAGAGATGTATGGGAAATTTGGAATAAGTGGTACAGGGGAGGGAAGGGGAACTAAAGAAGGATGGGGGCACGATAGAGACTTTCATACCCTGACATGAAACGGCATAGGCAACAGCGTTCAATGGGATTTGCCGTGGTTGTCGGAAACTTTGTTTGTGTAAATACGTTTGTTGAGTTAATATTGCATGAGACCACATATCATACTGAAGGAAGAATAGATCACCAAGTGAAATGAGAGTGAAATGTTAACGTGTGCACTTAAACGGATGCAAACAGTGTATTACATTATGTTACTTTACTAACTACTGTTAAACCAAAACTCTTGTCCTTTGCATTATCAGATATGCTTGTTATGTAAATCAACTGTGTACTGGATTCATAACCTTGAAAACCTTCAAAAAAAACTAAATATAAAAAAAAAAAAAATAATATCAGGAAGTATTACTTTACTGAGAGGGTAGTGGATGCATGGAATAGCCTTCCAGCTGAAGTGGTAGAGGTTAACACAGTAAAGGAGTTTAAGCATGCATGGGATAGGCATAAAGCTATCCTAACTATAAGATAAGGCTAGGGACTAATGAAAGTTTTTAGAAAATTGGGCAGACTAGATGGGCCGAATGGTTCTTATCTGCCGTCACATTCTATGTTTCTATGTTTCTATATATAAATAAATAACAAAAGAAAATCTGACTAGAACATTGTGTGAAGAGAAACCAACTTTATTGTGTTTTCCTGACTGCTGGAGTTAAGTAAAAGAATATTGTGCATAATATGAGCCTCCTGCCTAAGACCAAATTGTGTTTTTGCTTCCTGTCTGAAATAATGCAAAAACGGAAAGCCAAATAATATCTAATTATATTATTTTACATTATTTCTGTGAACAATGAAAAATATATATATAATAAAGTAAAGATATTGTTGTTTTATCCTACATTCACTGTTTCATATAAATGTTTTGTAAATATTTTTTATAACAAAATGTGGCTAAAAATTAAGAACTTGTAAAAAAAAACACATTTGTTTTGTTCTAAGTTGCTTACATCAAAGAAAAGAATAATTATATGTAAGAAAACTTCTGAATTTAAAAAAAAACACAAAAAAACAGGACAATTCAAATTTGTACTCTGATTTGTCTGTACCCGACAACTGAAGTAGAATGAACAAAAATCTCTCTTTTAAAATATTTTTTGTCACAAAGGAAAAAGGGTAATAAAATTAGGTCAGATATCAAGGCAACACAGAAGAGAGATAAATAATTATAAGAGAAACCACAAGAAATGGGAGGAAAGTGTAAATGTCAAAAAGAGTTATTACAACAGAAAATTAGTAATTTATTTTTAGTACTCTTACCAGAGAGTTTAGGCACCAGTTCTCCCAGAGGAGCTATTCTTCTCTCCCTCAGTTTAAATGAATACATTTCATTTAAAAAAGCCTTATTAGCTTATTAAGATGTTTAAACAACAACAAAAACATTTAAACTAGAATTGCAATCAACCCAATCAAAAATGTCCACCTTAACCACAGGAGACGTGTTAATATTTTTATTAAAACTGTATCTCAGGAGGTAGACACAACACGGACTAAGCATTAAATTATTAAAGGGTGGCATTTTAAGATTATAAAAATGAAAAATGTGATGCTTCATCCCTTAACCTCTTAAGGACACATGACATGTGTGACATGTCATGATTCCCTTTTATTCCAGAAGTTTGGTCCTTAAGGGGTTAAAGTAACACTATAGGGTAAGGAATACAAACGTGTATTCCTGACCCTTTTGTGTTAAAAATACGTTAGGTGGCAAGCACCCTCTTGCCACCCCTAAATAGAGATAAAACTTATCTTTATTCTAGCGCCGCTTGACGATCTCAGCTGATCCAATAATTTCCCATAAGAAAGCATTGGGAGGCTAATAAGCACCCGCAGCAAAATGCTGCTCTGGCTAATCAGCATCTCCTCAAAAAGGTTAAAAATAGAGCAAAAAGGATCAGCGCTAAACAACCAAACCAAAATGGAGAATTTTAAACTAATAGGCAGCACACCCTCTTAGCCCTACACAAATGGAATAGTACAAACAGAAGGGGCATGGAGGTAGCACCAAAAGAAAAGAAACACTACATGAGTAAAAATAGAACAAAAAAGATAAATGCCAATATAAATAAAAAAGATAATAACAATAAAATGTCGAATATAGTGTCCCAATATAAAACTTGCCAGAAGATATAGCCTCAGTTCTATCAGGGGAATTATTCTACAATAGAGCCAGATCAAGGTATTCTTTGGAGCCATATATGAAAACAGAGAGAAAAGACTAATGATGCAGAATATCCCAGAAGTCATAAATGTTCTTCTTGTGATGCAAACACCCCACATATATATTTGTTTTCAAATCCTTTATGTTTATTACATCAGGAGCTGGGCTAAACAGAGATATGTAAGAATATGTACAAAGGATCAGATCGAACAGATAACCCCTAGAGGCCTAATATTTTTTAAACTCCCAACCTCAGACCAAGATGATGATGAATTCATGAAGGAATGGAACAGTAAATTAGAACTATGCACGTTTGGTCTAATGGAAACCCTTATTTTAAAAAAGAGCAAAAAATTATCCCTGTTAGATGTTGAAATTAAGAACCTCCAAGATAAACTCCTACCATTTACTGAAACACAAGTTTTTAAACAAAACTCTATCATAATATAAAACAAGATAGAGAAAGTTGAAATGGATACAAAACACATAAAAGTAAAAAAATATATCAGGGACAAATATGATTATTCTAATGACCAAGTAAGAACTTACCATCTTAATAATAAAAAGAAATATACCTCAGTAACCCAGTTCTGATTATCATAATCAAAGGAGACAAAATGTTCACACCACTCAACAAAACACATATTATTCAGATTATCCATCACACCCTCCCTCTCACCCCCCCACCAGAACTTACCATCAAAGGAATTTAAGGAATCCCTACCCAAACCAACCTCACGTCCCATACCATAGAAACAACTACAAGCACTTTAAATCTCCCCCTGGATATCACAACTCATCCCACCGTATCTCGAACCAACATGCAACATCAAATCCCTATAAAAATCATCCAACACATAGATTCACCAAACCTACTACTTCTGTCCCAACTACACTTGGACAAGACACCTACAACTCCATTCCCAGACCCCAGATACACAGATTCACTTACCAAAATTCCAACCATACAAATCACACTACATCCCCTATTCACCATCCAAACAGATACCACATACTATCTATAGATTCTGAAACTGATATTGATGATCATTTTTTAGAGATCGGAACACACAACAACCCATCTGTGCAAACACCTTACCCAACAAGAGTAAGAAAGAGAAATTTAAGTATAGAGAAAGTGGGAGAAAATTTCAAGAGAGAAAAACTAGAGAGACATGAATCAATTCTAATTATAACAGACATGGAATTTTTAACTTATCACAAAATTTTTTAACTTCAACCCAAATTTCAGTTTTAAGTAAAGGTCTAAAATTTGCACCCACTAATCATTTTAACCCATTCCAGGCATTTTTAGATATTAACAAGTTTGTGAGAAAAGCAACTTTAAAAAGATTTTTTATTAGCAAATCTAATCTATCAGACATCCTCAACAACACCCCAAGCAACAATACCTCAGACCCATGCACTACAAATGAACCGCAAGTAATAAGCACCATGCTTTTTACCCATCCAGTTTTAAGTCAGGCCCTATAGAGGTGTTTGAGAAGTTAGTACTACATGATTTAGACAAAATCAAACAAAAGGAACAAAAAAAACAAAAATACAAATATCATAATCTAACATGCCAAGAACAGAAAGCACTGATAGAACTACAAAAAGATGATGATATCATTATCAAACCAGCCGATAAAGGCGGAGGCTTAGATGTACTTTCTAAAACCATGTATATCAATGAAGCACTAAGACAACTGAACGATCAGAATGTATATGGCAAACTATCTTCAGATCCCACTCAAACTATAAAAACCTCATTATCACTATTTTTAACTAAGGGTCTGGAACAAAAAAATCTCACTAAAAAAGAGTTTGAATATTTAAACATACCCCATCCCAAAATCCCAGTAATCTACTTTTTACCCAAAATACATAAAGATGAAAATAATCCTCCAAGTAGACCTATTGTCTCTGGGATAAACTCTATATTATCTCATTTGTCCAAATATATAGACATTTTACTATAGCCATCTGTCAAACTCATGAGGTCATACCTCAAAGACTCGATGACACTACTTCGCTTTTTAGAAAATGTTATATGGCATCCAGATTTTATTTTAGTTACTTGTGATGTACAGTCTCTGTACACGATTATTCCCCATGATAAAGGATGTGAAGCAGTTTTTAATCGACTAACAGCAGATAATATTATCCCAGAAAAACAAATCAGT